TGTCTCTATAAATGGATACCAGGAGACAAAAGGGTCAGGAAAGAGTATTGTGCATGTGTTTTGGAGCCTGCTTGGGGTATTGCGTGTGTGCAGAGTGAGCTGGTCGTGGTGTGGTATTGTGTAGTAAGGTCGGTTTTAGTCGTGTTGTGTTTGTGGTGTAATGTAATGCATATGTGGCTAGGGGCTTTAGAGAATGTGTGTTTAGGGGATGTAGCAAGTGTGTGTATACAGGCTATAGTGTGTGTGTGTAGGTGATGTAGTGTTTGTAGAGAGTGTGTGTTCAGGGAATGTAGTATGTGTTTGCTTATAAGGAATCTAGTGTGCGTATAGGGGATCCAGAGTGTGTGTGTGTTTGAAGGACCCAGAATATGTATAGGAGATCTAGTGAGCGTGCGTATATAATGGATTCAGAGTGTATATAGGGATCTAGTGTGTGTATGTGTGTAGATGATCCAGAGTTAGGTAGAGGATCTAATTTGTGTCTGGAATGAAATGTGTTTAGGGGTGCTGTGTGTGTGTGTGTGTGTGTGTGAGGGGTGCTGTGTGTGTGTGTGTGTGTGAGGGGTGCTGTGTGTGTGTGTGAGGGGTGCTGTGTGTATATTTATATGTGTATATATATTATATAAATATGTTTGGAAGTATTGTGTATGTGTGTTAGGCAGTGTATCGGGGGGTTGTGTGTGTATGTGAGGAGTGCAGTATGTGTGTGTGATGGATCCTGTGTGTGAGGTGTGGGTGCTGTGTGTGGGTGCTGTATGTGATTGATTTGTGTGAGGGTGCTGTGTGTGTGGGTGCTGTGTGTGTGTGTGAGAGTGCAGAGTGTGATGTGTGTGAGAATGCTGTGTGTGAGAGTGCTGTGTATGATGTGTGTGAGAGTGCTGAGTGTGAGAGTGCTGTGTATGATGCATGTGAGAGTGCTGAGTGTGAGAGTGCTGTGTATGATGTGTGTATGAGAGTGCGGTGTATGATGTGTGTGAGAGTGCTGTGTGTGAGAGTGCTGTGTATGATGTGTGTGAGAGTGCTGAGTGTGAGAGTGCTGTGTATGATGTGTGTGAGAGTGCTGAGTGTGAGGTGCTGTGTATGATGGGTGCAGGTGTAGAGGTGCTGTGTATGATGTGTGTGAGAGTGCAGAGTGCTTGATGGGGTGTGAGAGTGCTGTGTGTAGAGTGCAGGTGTGATGGAGTGTGAGGTGCTGTGTATGATGTGTGTGAGGTGCAGAGTGTGATGAGTGTGGGGTGCTGTGTGTGGAGTGCAGAGTGTGATGGAGTGTGAGAGTGCTGTGTATGATGCATGTGAGAGTGCTGAGTGTGAGAGTGCTGTGTATGATGTGTGTGTGAGAGTGCGGTGTATGATGTGTGTGAGAGTGCTGTGTGTGAGAGTGCTGTGTATGATGTGTGTGAGAGTGCTGAGTGTGAGAGTGCTGTGTATGATAGTGCAGAGTATGAGAGTGCTGTGATGTGTGATGTGTGTGAGTGCAGAGTGTGATGTGTGTGAGTGCAGAGTGTGATGTGTGTGTATGATGTGTGTGAGAGTGCTGTGTATGATGTGTGTGAGAGTGCTGTGTATGATGTGTGTGAGAGTGCTGTGTATGGGGAGTGCTGTGTGTATGATGTGTGTGAGGAGTGCACAGTGGCCCTTAGAGTGCTGTGTATGATGTGTGTGAGAGTGCAGAGTGTGAGAGTGCTGTGTATGAGAGTGCTGTGTATGATGTGTGTGAGAGTGCAGAGTGTGATGAGTGTAAGAGTGCTGTGTATGATGTGTGTAAGAGTGCAGAGTGTGATGAGTGTGAGAGTGCAGAGTGTGATGAGTGTGAGAGTGCTGTGTGTGAGAGTGCAGAGTGTGATGAGTGTGAGAGTGCTGTGTGTGAGTGCAGAGTGTGATGAGTGTGAGAGTGCTGTGTATGAGAGTGCTGTGTATGATGTGTGTGAGAGTGCAGAGTGTGATGTGTGTGAGTGCTGTGTATGATGTGTGTGAGAGTGCAGAGTGTGATGAGTGTGAGAGTGCTGTGTATGATGAGTGTGAGAGTGGTGTGGGTGAGAATAGAGTGTGATGGGTGTGAGAGTGCACTTGTATGATGTGTGGAGGAGTGCTGTGTGTAAATGTGTGTTGGGGGTAAATAAAAACTAAGGGGGGGGGGGTAAATAAAGAAATTAAAAAAAAAAAACCTAAGTAAGCATTAAATCCCCTGCGGGCTAGAGTTCACTCTCGCGAGATCCGGTCGTTGCCATGGCAACGCGCCGGATCTCGCGAGAGGAACCCGGCGGAGCTGCAAGACAGAGCTCCGCCGGGTCCTCTCCCTCCCTCCCCAGCCGCAGGTCTGTTTAAATGGGCCGGTGAGGGAGATCTTTGATCTCCCAACTGGCCCTCCATGGAAGACAGCGGGGCCGGCGCTCGGAGAGTGCCGGCCCTGCATAGACCGGCAGGGGAGATCCTGGGACCTCCCCTGCCGGCCTCGGCCCCACGGACACCGCGGCCCACCGGGCATTTGCCCGGTGTGCCCGATGGCCAGTCCGGGCCTGGGCTACATGCCCGGCTTTTATGCAGGTCTCCCACCTGTTGGACACTCCCCTAGGGGACCAGATGGGAAACTGGGAAACATATTGGACATTGACCAATCACAGACATACACTTTTAAACACTCCCACAATGCATTGCAATCCTTCCTCTCTGTCCTGGAGGTAATTGGGAAGTAATTCAATTATCTCCAAGGACAGAGGCAAACCTCCATTAACCACATGGCAGTAAAAAGACAGTAAAAGACATAAAATTACATACTGTTACATTCATCACATAGGACATATCCCCAGATAGCTCAGATCTGAGCGCACATTATTACCGGATGGCGCTCAGATCACATACATACAGTTCAATCGCCATGGAGCCAAAGTCTTTCCCATAGTCTTTCGGTTTACGAATGGGCTCCATGGCTTAGCTATCTGGGGTAACACTGCTCACATAGGGAGAATAAAAGGTTTTTAATGCAGGGCCATAGTCCAGCGGCAAGAGGTGGGCAACCAGGCTCCTCCAGTGGCCAGTGGTGAGGTTGGTTCCGCCACACTAAACTTGACCAAAACTGAAATTCTGGTCTTTCCTCCCTCAAGTGTTGTTACTTCTGTGTCTGTCTCCCTCCAAGTCAACGGTGCTAACATCAGCTCCACCACGCAGGCTCGCTGCCTAGGTGTTCTCTTTGACTCTGATCTCTCCTTTAAGCCTCATGTTTAATCTATCGCCAAATCCTGTCATTTCCATCTCAAAAACATTGCGCGCATCCGCCCCTACTTAACGCCAGATGCGACTAAGGTGTTGGTCCATTCCACTGTCCTTTCTCACCTTGACTACTGTAATCCGCTTCTCAGTGGTCTTACGTGCTCCCAACTTGCTCTGTTACAGTCCATAATGAATGAGGCGGCAGGGCTCATCTTCCTGTCCATCCGCACCCTTCTGTCAGTCCCTACATTGGCTTCCTATAAAATATAGAGCTCAATTTAAAATTCTGGTTCTTGCTTTCAAATCTCTACACAATGCTGCTCCCACCTATCTATCCTCCCTTATACACAAGTATGTCCCGTCTAGGCCCTTACGATCTGCTGAAGACTTACGTCTATCTTATGTCCGTACTCCCACCTCTGATGCTCGCCTTCAAGATTTCTCGAGGGCTGCACCGTTCCTGTGGAATTCACTTCCCTCCTCCGTTAGATGCTCACCCAGTCTCCACTCCTTCAAAAAATCGTTACAAACCCACTTCTTCATAAAAGCGTATCAATTAAACTGTTAATAGCTATCCTTACCTTTTTTTGTGTCATTTTGCCCCACTCCCTCTAACATGTAAGCTCATTGAGCAGGGCCCTCAACCCCTCTGTTCCTGTGTGTCCAACTTGTCTGGTTACAACTACATGTCTGTCCGTCCACCCATTGTAAAGTGCTGCAAAATTTGACGGCGCTCTATAAATATAATAATAATAATAATAATATTATGGAATATGTGTTATCCCTAGTGGTTAGACAAACGACACCTATTATTGTTGCAGGGGAGAGCAACACGTTGCTGTTTTATTTTCTATGGAATTATAAGTTCAAGCGGCACTGTCACCTCCCTTTTGAAAAATGAGTATTTCATGAAGCCGCTGGTTTCTCCATAGACGTCAATTCTCTACTCTCTTTCACATGTGCTGAAGTGCCAGGAGCTTAAGAGAACCCGCAAGAGAAAGATTGCGTCACCCACGAGGGACAGGATCAGGTAAGTAAATCACACCTTTACCCCGACCACCGGATGTCCTCACCGGATGTCACCTTCAGGGGTTTTTACAAATTTTGCTAAGTCCCAAGATAGTTACAGTGACGCTTCAAATTCAAATATCTAAGGATTACTGCAACCCTTTGTGATGATACGGCCTTAATATATCGTCCGTAGGTATTCTTTTTACATAACTTGCAGCACTAAACTGCTCCACTAAATGCTGTATAGAAGCACCTGAGAAAAAGTGACCAGCACCACAAACAATGTGAGCCCCAAATGAAGAGTCAATATCTTCAAAGGTAAAAGCCACCGAATACACCAGGCAAGGGTAGTCACAGAAGCTGCCTTGTAAGGTCTAACATAGAAAATAGTGACTGAAAGTAACTGATCGGAAGAGATATCTCAGCGAGGAGACATAACCTCCACATAGCGACGCAACACTGAAACCACTCACAATTGAGTATACAAGATGAATATCTGAAACGTAACTTCTTCTGGGGAAAAATAATAAAGGCCCATGTTGAAGGCACCAATGGAACGACATCAGACATAAAAGGAGCAGATAACGGGGCGTGGCTTGGATACTGAATGGAGCGGATGCATGTCGGCTGAGCTCCAGCTAACCGCAGCTCCAATAGTGCGATTATATTGGCGTCCTACCCCACAATCACCCGTGCCAGCAACTGGCATAAAGCAGCAGCATGGGGAAGACAGCAAAAAAGCACCGAACCGCCTCCTTCTGCAGCCACGGCCTAGGCCCAAAATGGCAGCACAGCAGGACCCACGCTATTCTTCCTCTGAGGAGGAAATCCTCGATGCCCCGGACGAAATACCCCACATGGAGGGCCTGATCTCCCCACACCAGGGGGAAGACCTGACAGCCCCAGCCACAAGGGACATCAAGACACTAATGCACAACATCCGTGTCTTTTTCAATGCTGACCTAAACATAATACGGGAAGACATCACAGTAGTCACTGCCAGAGTTCAGGCTACAGAGGACAGCATCCACTCCATCACACAACAACAGACAAGCACCAATGAACCGATGCAACAACTCCTGGCAACAAACAAAGTCATGCAGATTAGAATTGATACCTTAGACGATGCACGGAGATGCAAAAATCTCAAAATTAGAGGTATAACTGAAACAATTGGTGAACAAAAGTTACCACATCTAATTAGGCTACACCTGCCTACTCTGCTGCCCCAACGGTCTGCAGGGGGCATCCAAATCGATGGCTGCTTCCGCTTCGCAAAATCCAGCAGGGCTCCGGCTGGGACCCCGTGAGTACTGGTACGCTTCCTCACACTGCGGGACAAACTAGCAACCCAAAAAGCTGTGAAAAACAAAATACCACATCAATTCAAAACAATGCAGCTCCAGATTATGCAAGACCTATGCCGATCCACCTTAGACTGGAGACGAGCTTTTCAACCAGTCACGAGGGCCCTGCGAACGGCTAACGTCCCCTATAAATGGGGACAGTCTCGCACCCTCACGTCTACTAGAGACGGCCGCACTTACCAGCTTCTTACCACGGAGGACTCCCAGCCTTCCTAAGGGACTTAGGCCTGACTTCACTTCCAGACAAGATTGTTCCCTTCATTCCTCGCCCCAATGCAGATACCACCTGAAGAGGGGATGGAAGCCCCGTGGCTCCAACAGTTCTGAGAGGGAACCCCTGCAGCCTCGCAGGGACGGACTGACACCTCAACCAGTCCCATTTGCATGTTAATTATGTTTTATTGTTTTAGAATACTGCTCACTGTTTATTGTTTATAAGTTACACTGCTGTCACTAGATGCCTACACACTGCCTCGGATCTGTCCTGGCCAGCAGACATTAAAGCAGCCAAATCTCCCCCTCCCCCCTGAACGCTCAGGGGTTATTGAGTGTAATTTAATAGATAGCACCCACGACAGACCCAAGTCTTAATTATATCTAGGACATAAGCATTGTCTTTTCACTTAAGACCCATAGGGCTGGGTCACCCTCCTACTTCCACAGCCTCAGCGATATTAAAAAGCCCCACAATACATAGATTACTAACCGGATATAGCCAGTATGTCATTTAAACCTATTTAGTATACCTTACTACCCTGCCGGTACCCTCAGACGGTACACATTTCACACATACAGTGTGTTGCTTACTGGCGGAACGTTCAATGGTTTACAACCTAAAAACGTGCACTAACAACCTATGTCATATCATTGTTAACGAAGTTATTCATATAGAAGCTGTTGTGGCACTGTATGTGAGAATGTTAACTCCTTTCACAAGAAAATAAAGAATAAATTTAAAAAAAAGGAGCAGATAACTAACACAGCAAAAGATTCTCATTGGCCAGCCAATCACGGTACACAAAACGACTGAAACGTGAGCATACTTGGGCCCGGGGATGTTGGAATCGCATTCCACTTAGCAAACAACAAATGATGCTGCTCTGTAATGTAGGCAGTCAATATGGCAGATCATGTCATATTGATGGACGGATAAGACAGTCCAGTGGAAAATATACCAGACAAAAAATTTTTGTATGATAGGCGTAGGTGCAGTAAGGGATCAGAGTGACCAGGAATATCAGGTAGAAAGGTCTACGTCATTTCCCTGTGGCCCACAACTGCCATAGGAAACCATGCAAAATGAGGAATGTTGGGAGCAAATGTGATGCATGACCCTCACTATCATCATGAAGAAGGGGAAAGCATATGCTCAGCCAAGTGTGAAGAAACACATCCACCGCCATGCATTTGCATTCCTGATCGATTATTCAGCTGAAAAATTCCAGAGACTGATGATTGATTCAGAATGGGATTAGATCTAGTCAAGAGGGCCCCTACGAGGTCGCCCTCAGAGGTGCCCAACAGGGGATTTGAACCTGGGTACTTTGCGGTCCTGGGCCTGCTTTTCTGCCTTTAAGCCACAGCATCTCCTATTCCTCAGTGTATTTCTATCCAGTTCTATTTCTAACCCTGTTCTACCTGGCTATGTCTCCAGCAAAAGGGGGGTGGACATTTGCTGTGGCTGCTCCTGTCTATCTCAGTCCACCTGAAGCAGATGTCAAATCAGCCAGGTATGAAACACTGCCTCTCTCTAAGGGCAGTGTCAGTTCATTGACTCTGGTTCCTCTGTTTGTGTTTGTGTTCGTGATCCAGTTTTCTCTAGTCGGCTCCTGACCTTGGCTTATTCTTATCGTGTGTCCTGACCTCTGGCATCCTCTGACTTTGGTATCATTTATATTGACTTCTGGCACCCTCTGACTTTTGGCTTATCCTCGACAATTCTTGTCTGTACTGCGACTTGGAGCAATATCCTGCACAGCCCCTGTGCACAGACTCATATAACTTGAACATTATCTTTTATTGCACTCATTTGTTGGTTACCTGTTAGGATATAACTCTGTCAATATACCTTATGCAGCTAATAATCTAAATTACAGCTGTACAAAATTAAAGGGTTGCTTTTGAATGCTTGCAAATATGTGGACTCCCATTAACTCTATTGTTAATGTAACTAGGTTAAACCAAGACACATGACTGGTGGCTATATTGGTGCTCTTTAAAGCACATAGTCGGCAGCCATCATGGTGCTCCTGAAAGTTTAACACAGTAGCCATAATGGGATGGATGGCAGATGCAGCACATTGCTATTTCACTGTGAAACAAGGAAACTTTTGTGCCCTAATGACACACTAGATGGAGTCGATCTCGAACCCTAAAAACTGAATGGAATGCAATGGAAACAGAGCTGTCTTGGCACGATTCATGATGAATCCATAAAGTGGATTTAAGTCTGTAAGGCGAGTTTGCATCTGTAAAGCTTGTTTCATGTCAAAACCTTGAGGTGCCAAAATAAAATATAAAACTAAATAAATGCTTCAATAAATCCCCCAAGCATGTACATGAGCTACCGCTGGATTCAGGATCAAACTGAGGCCAAACAGAAGAAAGGTGAACTGCCAGGGGTGACCGCATCAGCAGAATCTGAGGAAGCATTGACTGGAGTGGTGAACGGATATCGAGATACAGATGTCGTGTAAACTAGTCTCCTTCTTGCAATAGGTCCCTGAGAAGATTGATAACCTCCATCTTGAAGTAGCAGTAAACTACATACGTATTGCAGTGCCTTAGATTTATCACTGGGTTGACATCCTCTGTCTTACTCTTTACTAAGAAGAGACTGCTGAAGAAAGACCCTTGTGACGGACCGCCTGGCACCCACACTGGGTGCCTCCGCCAATCGCTGCTTCCTAGTAGCCTGGAGTACTTTAAGCACCGCACCGGGCACCGTAGCCCTTTAGCCGCTGTAGCTTGGCTGGGGTCTTGCTGTCTTCCACCCACCCTGGACCCAAGCCCAGGATCCAACTTTCAGTGGGTGGACCTCTCCTACTCCAGAGAATCTAGTAGGTATAGCTGTGTAGCTCTTACAATAGCTAATGATTATAGCCAGTATAGCAATCTGAAGCAGGTATAGCTGGTATAGCTGTTCCCTACAATCACAAGATGAGGGTGAAGTAAACTGACTTTAATGGGACCACACTTGACATTTTATGACAGTCCCCATGCAAGGGGCACTCCCTGTACCTGAGCTAAACCACAGTAGAAACAAATACACAATCACATTGGCTCTCAGATCCACGACACTCCCATACATAATAAGATAATCCCTCCACTGTGCCTGGGAGATAATTGAGTCAAGTACTGTATTAACTCAATTATTTCCAGGTACAAAAACACACATATTTATAAAAACCCCAAAATACCTTTAAAACATACAAAACCCCCACAGTTGCATCCCCTGAAAGCCCTGATCTGGGTGAACAACATATCCAAAAATCACCCAGATCGGTTCAGGGGTTCAGGAATTTCCTGAAAGTCATAGTTTTGGCTCATCGCACGCATGGTCCCATGCCCAAACAGTTCCACAGAATCGCAGCTTAGTGCCACTGGGGGACCGACCCACAGAGCAAATAAAATTGTAATAAACCTTGCCCAATATCCACATAAAATTAAATGAGGGCAAACATCCGATTAGAAAGGGAATTGGTATTGCTCCGGGCCAGAGCTGCACATCCTCCATGGAGTGTATGACAAAACAAGATGGCCACCGCAAATCTTGCAAGACCCAAGATGGCCACCATGACCCAGCACCAGGAAGGCAGAGCCTTAAGTGAGGGGAAAGGAGAACACACCCTGCAGAGATCGCGCTTGGGCAGTTAAAGAGCCATAGAGCCTTCCTACAATGGTCCAATGTCGGGAAATGGGACAAAGAAGTGCAGCACAAAATGGCCACGCAAAGAAGGTGGGTTGGGGGTAAGAAATACAAGCACAGGCCCAAATACAAGACAACCACCCAAATAAGGCTTCAAATAACCAGTAAAGGTAAATTGAGAGAAACTAATGAGCAATGAAAGAATATAACACCATATACGTAAACATAAGTAGAGTGAAGATAGCAAAAATTCTGTCCTGTCCTTGTGTGGAGCAGCAAAGAAAGAGGAGGTGTTTAAAGCTGCTTCACCTCATATACACCTTGTCTGTTTTTTGATTGATTATTTGTTCTGTGAGTAACTTTTTTGCTGCTGTGAAGCTCAGCAAAGATAGATGTGCAAAATATGAAGCCTACTGTCATGTAAACGTATGTCAAGCTTGTGAACCTCCTCATCTCATTTGCTTGTAGCCTACTTTCATTGAACAGAGTACCACTACTTCATTTCATTGAAAGGATACCAGTACTATCTGATGTGGGTAATCATTTATTGGAAGCTGGTCTGATTGCTTATCCTTATTGTTTATTTATATATATGTTTTAAAAAGAATTGACCTGTCCAATGCAATGTTACTTTGACATATTTTATTGCATTACTTACTCTGTATGCCATACTTTTACCTCAATAAAAAAAAAGTGATTGTCAAAAAAAAGTAACATACTGCTATTGTTCATGTGTCTAAAATACAAAAACTGATCAAATGAGGTGAAGATAGATACCAACATATAACAAATCGCATATCTGTTAATCTGTTAATCTGTACTCCAGTACTTAAGATACTCTTCATATATTGGAAGGTCTACTCTACATAATAGATTACACGGATTATTGCATCTATTGCTAAAGTGCAAAAAATAGACATCGATATATAATTACTGTATTATTTCATTTGACACTAGTAGAAATTTATTAAGTAAATAGCAACTTGTTACATTTCAAAACTAAGCATATCTAATCACAAATTTGAGCTATTTTAGCACATTGGCTGATCTCACATTAAAAATACACAGTAATGTG